CAAAGTCTTCAATGCTATTCGCTTTATTGTGTTTTTTTCTAAATGTGCATTTTGTCGCATTGCGAATTTTTCGTGCATCTGTTTAGTGCAGTGTATTTCTCGCTTGAACTGTCAGGGTTGAGCATTGCAATACTGTCATAACGTGACCAGTATTTTCGTCCTACATCTTTCGTTCCGTTTTTTTTAATTTTTAATTTATTATTATAACAAATTTTTCACTCATATGCTTTCTGTTGGAATCGAAATTTGTATTTTTCCAATATTAATCCAAATCAAGAATATAAATTTTTATTATTTTTATTGGCTAATTCTTATTTTTTGTTATGTTCATATTGCTGTACGATATTATGGATCTGCTTTTAACGTAGCTAATCCTCAGCTCCAGCATTTTTAAAATAAAGAGCAAACACAGTCTCTTGAGGTAGACGTTATATCCAAATAAAAAGTGACTTAGTCGCTAACCAGTTTATAGCACCTTGAACCAATAACATATAGTATCTCTGATCTCCCTTGATTCGCGACATTGTTCTGGATGGCTTAACTTGTTATTAAGGCTCGTTCGTGCTAAATTGCCTTAAATTATGAATGAAAAAATCAAACCGCACTGATGTTATATTTCGGCTTCAAAAACACAAATATCACATGCTCCAGCCTTTATCATACCCGTTTGTCTAATACGCTTTTTAGTTAGTCTAAGTAGCCTATATCAGTGGGTGGAAACAAGTACGAAAATACGAGATTTTCCTTGCGATTGTATAGGGAAAAAGATGGCGACGGCAGAGCTACTGCTGTTAAAACAGTCATGAAGAAATGCAATAAATTCCTTGTTGTTTTATGAAAATTTACAACTTTGTGATAGAACTTTATGAGTGCCTGGGTCCTGGGATTGGCCGAGGATGGTCATGTGGACGAGTAACCGTGAACATGAACTTTTTATGATTTCCCAAGTGGTTATATTGCAGCATTCTTTTGGCCGCAGTGCTTAATGTAGCTTCACTGTGCTCCTTAAAGGTTCTTACTCTATTTTTATAGTATATTTTGACCAACACTGAAATTGCACACAGTCGGAGAGCATTGTTCAGGCTGATGTTCTCAGAATGAACAAGGAGAGAACAGCCTCCTCTCGCTCTGCTATGCTAATGTAGCCGCCTGTGATTGGGATAACCACTGCGATGGAGTCTTATTGAGATCTGGACACGCAGTAGGGTCTCATCTAATTTTTCATACGGGGGGCTGACTCCCGTTGACTAAAGCGGGTGAAACGGATGGAAGCTGTGGTGCCGCTGTCATTTTCACTGCTTCGCTCTAATGGCGCGACCAAGAAGAGCAACAGGACTTACCGAGCGCGAGCTACGGCGAGAGGTTTGCGCCTCTCTGTCCTAGTGTTGGCTGACGAATTATCAACAAAGGTAAGTCTGTCATTGTCTCGCAACCGCATCGTTTCTCTGAGGTAAGAGCCCGACCAAGCCTAATCATGCGCACTAGATGGACGTACTCCTAAGCTGTACATGCGCGACTTATTAGTTAACACCTTATCTAAATCCAATTATTCATTTCCATCTTGGGTGGAGCAGCGTTTTGGTGAATTTCCTTGCCTTTTCTTCTCGTCAGCGTTGGGGTGTTCTAATGCATGCTGTGCATTTACAGAGATGCAGATGTGCTGATTTCGGGGTTTTCCACTGCATTACTGTATGTGTTATGATATGGAGCGCAGTCATGGCTGCGGCGAGAGGGCGAGGTTTGAAGAAGCTGCTGTCTTGACAATCGGATTTTAGCCTTATATCCCTGGGTCAATTATTTAGTGAAATGCTGGAGATATTATTCCGTGCCACATTTAAAGTTATAAATGCGATAAAATGTAATGCTTACCACCCTAAATCACAAACTAATAATAAAAAACAAATAAAATAAAAATAAATAAACAAAAAATGTAACAATAATTGAAGGCCTCACTTGAATCGTTAGGGTTATATTCAAAATACCCCAAATACCCAAAGGTCTCCTTGTGTTTTTGCATAGACGTGTTTCACTTCCAGATCAGATGAACAAATCTTCCAGGTTATTCTACCGGCTGCTGTGAGAGAGGAAGGTAATGATTCCTCGCGGCTTTGCTTGGCATAGGCTATTTTCTCTCTCTCTCATCTATTCCATGCCGTCCAGCAAATTTGTAACGTTCCTAAAAAAATTGTTGTCCACTTGTTCACATGCTTATTTTCTATAACACTGCACGGTCTAGACTGTATGGAGCAAGGATAATGTGGGAAATTAGTAATGTCTGTCTGTTTGTCTGTCTGTCTGTCTGTCTGTCTGTCTGTCTACACTATCTATCTATCTATCTATCTATCTATCTATCTATCTACCTATGCCTCACAGATTGTTTTTAGGTAAATTGTATGTAATGAATAAAATATTTGGAATATATATCACATGATTGAGAACTTTTATCTCTGTATCTTACACGAGACTGGCAGTCTTACATAATATCTATCCAATAGACTGTGAATAATTAATTATTCAGTATTTTACCAGAAACTTATATGTGCATTAACCTGGTCGGTATTTTCTAATTTCATCTTCCTAGGTGCATGAATCTGGTCAGCTTCTTGTTGTTAAGAGATGCTGACACAAATTCAACGCACATGAGCCATTTCCCCGCTATCTGGCGCCATCTAGTGTCCATTCTTGCATTTCGCCAACACAGACTACTTGGACTAGAGGGTGTGTTTATTGCACTGGGTATGTGTGTGTGTGTGTGTGTGTGTGTGAGAGAGAGAGAGAGCGTGTAAGAGAGAGAGGATTTATTACAGTGCGCAGTTGTTTGCTGTATTGTGTATGTGTGTGTGAGAGAGTGTGTGTGTGTGTGTGTGTGTGTGCGCGCGCACGCCAGCGCGTGACGTTTTATGGCAGTGTGAGAATGTGTTTTAGTGTTCTTCTAAAGCACGTTTTATTGCTGTGTGAGTGTTTGTGCGACTGTGTGCGCGCAGTATCTTTTCTTCCTCTTTTATCAAGTCACATCAGCATTCACCACTCACCAACAGATGTGTGCTTTAGCTTTTAAATATGAATAAAACCTCTTAAATGTTGTATGCAGTAAAGCACACACGTTGCAGCCGCAGATAACAGGAAAGACAGGGAGGGGTTCTCGGCCCGGTGGCAGTGAAACGTAAAAGAATGTAGGGGCTGTAAATTCTGCTAGCTGTTCCTGCTGCTCTTTGAAGTGTCTGCGTTTGGGGAAGATTTGTGGAATACACACACACACACACACACAAACCTGAGACCTGAAGGGCTTATTCCTTCTACTCTGCTCTCTTGCTTCTTGTAATGCATCCAGAATATCACGATTTGACTACTCCTAGGTTATTTCACTGTAAAGGGAATGAAGTGCGTCGAGGCCTGGGTGCGAACCGACCTGTGTGTGCCCTAGCCAAAACCTACATCCTTGACCAGTTTTAAAGTCATGCTGACCTTTTCATATCTTTGGCGTTCTCTCTTATGCAAGTACATACTCCAAGTAATAAGTGTTTATTTGGACTAGTAGTGGGCATAGTAACCGGAAAGAGAGAGAGAAAGAGAGGGAAAAGTGAGAGGGAGGAGGGACTGCTTGGAGATTGTACGACTCCTGTTTAATGTCGTAAAGAGCGAATGTGTGATATGGTTTGTCTCTTGATTTTTGTGTATATTTGACGGCTCTGCCTTTTTGCACCTTAAGTACTATAATTTGTAAGCAATTCCAGTCACAAGGCACAAGTTTCCATAATGTAAAAAGTACAGGCGCTCTCCTTTTATTTGCATAGCTCCCGCACTGACTTCAATGATTTATGCTATTTCAAAACATGGATAATTGCAGGGCGGATTTTAAATAATTGTTAACATAAATATAAACGCCCTGTTTAAAGTAGCTTAAAGTTAAATGAAAACGTTTTATTCTTTGATCGACCTAACAAATATAATCATCATTATTTTTGTTGAAAACAGAGAGCCGTATAGTCTTTATAACCATCCACAACCATCCTCAGAAATCCCGTGTTATGAGTGGCTGACAGAGCTTCTGAAAATCAATAAGGCTTTTATCCATTACGTTCAAGATGTTAGTGAAATCTGATATGGATATAGAAATACATAAAAAACTGACTTTTCAATGATTTACTAATTTATAAAGACATGGACACCTCCATTTATTTTGTATTTTGTCTAACATGCAGTTCTCGGATTTGATCATTTAGACGCGCTTGTAGGTCTTAACGTCGTGTACTTGTACTTTACTCTGACTTTAGCGTGTGGGAGAAGAGCTTTCATAAATTAACGTTGGGGTACACTTTAAGACAAGAGTTTGCGGATCCCCCTCCCCTGACTTTTTGACAGTAAAATGCATGCGCATTTTTAAATGAGACTTGATTCACCAGATTGCTGTATATAGTATCCTAAAATGTACAAACAGCACATATAAATAAAATATATTACTCACTGACCTTCCGGTATTTAGGGGAGAAGATAAACAGTGAAACCGTGAGAATGATTATCGTACCATAAATACGAAGAGCGAAAATAATGTATAGGCTACTCAAATGAAATTAAAGCGTGTAGAGGCAGCATATATGATATAAACGCGGCAACCACAGTCTTACCGTAAATTTAAAGGAAGCCTAAAATAACCTTAATTTATGTTAAAATATATTGCACACGAAGGAGACACGGCATTTGGTGTAAAGCCTGCATGCCATTTTAACTGTTCAGTTTCAAGAATTAGTAATTATAACAAATGTCTGACACCAGCATTCAAAACAGTGAACTTGTGAGCTCTTTATATATTTTATTAATATGAAACTGTTTTTTACCATTTTAAATTCATGTATTATTTTAAAAAAAAATCAGTCAATGAAAATAAAATCCCTCGATAAATGTTTTTCATATGCATTACATAAACAGGCTAGAAAAGTTAGACAGACGTGTAGCTATTAATAATGTTAATTAATGCACATTTTACATGCTATACACTCGGGGAAATTTACAGAACGTTATAGAATACTTGACAAAAAAAGCTTAATATCAAAACACATAACTCCATATCCAAACTGGGTGTAAAATTGTTCAATTTGACTCCTTTTCACCAAATAAAAACTTGCGCAGATGTATTCAGAAAAGTTGACTATTAGTCCATTGCAATCCAATTGTCTCGCTGGATTCTGTGGTTCTTCGACGAGGAAGAAAATACCTGTAAAGATAGAGAAAGAATAATGAAGTTAATAATAAAACATGAGATTTTTGGAGAAAGACGTATCACACTTGTATTTTGAGTTACGTTTAAATATTGTGCTATCACAAACTAAGAGGTCTTGGTTAAGAATTGATAGAACGTGTAATGGTAGTTATTACTCATTAATAATTAACAAACGCTGACCGGGCCCTTCTCCCCCTTGCTCATTTCCACAAATGGAAACACAATAGATGCTTTCCGTTAGCAGAAAACTATGGAATGCGAAAGGAAACGCAGCATCCTAGTCAAAGGAAACCGAAATGAAAGTAAAATGCACGCAACCCCCACTGCACCACCTTTAAAAATATCCACTTGTTGTGCCGCAAATGGTTTATTAGTCGTATAGCGACAGGATACCCGGCCACCATAACTGTACTTTTGGTTAATGAAAAACACACACGCTCGACCAGCGCAGCGCAACACCGAACACAAAAGCTAAAACACTGTTGCATTATTTGCTGGCATTCTCAAACCATTAATTAAAGCAAAGGAGGAAACATCTTATGCGAAATGCTGTCAAAAAAGTCCGAGTCTGTTTTATAGCCTACTCATAAAAAATAAATTGAACAAAACACTCTCTATAGATTTACACACACACACACACACACACATAGTACATATCTGTAATGTCATTATGTGTCAAAATTAATATTTAATAATTTAGATGATCACTAAATATTTGAAATACCGTTTTTGTATATACACCAACATATCTGTTACCTATTGGATTTTGTTGAATAGTTTTGCTCAGGCTCATTTACTTTGCACTGTTTATATATAGGCTTTGGTTTTCTTTAACACGTCGTTTACCATTTATAAATCACTATGAAATTACAGTGATGAAAAAAGCGATGAAGCCGCTATCATCAATATGTCATTTTATCTATTGTGACCTACTTGTGCGATAAGGCCTAGTAAATTACCAATCTGAAATATAAATAAGGAAGGATGAAATATGATCAAATGTAGTAAGGAATAATGTGTGTTTGGAAAATCTGCTACTCCAGGGCTTGTATGTTGACACTCTATTCTCCAATGGTATGATAGGACCAAAGACGACTGTATGTGGGGGCACAAAGTGTCGATGTATTCAATTTAGCGTTTTAAAATTCCTATGTGATTCGTATTGTGCAATCTCATTGGAAGGTACGGAAAGGGAGAAGGGATTAAAAAAAAATCTAGCTCTCTGCTCCGGGGTCCCCCGGCGCGTGCAATCACAGCCCCCCTCAAGGGTGCTATTTTGCAGGCACGTCCGCTCGCTATTGGTCAGTGGCTGGTCAGATGGTAAACTACTAATAGCTAAACCACTTGGACTATAAAACACAACAAATCATAAACCAAGCAAAAGAGCCGTACCCTCCCAATGAGTTCCTATTTTGTAAACTCAACTTTCCCAGTGACTCTGCCCGGAGGACAGGAGTCGTTCTTGGGACAGATACCGTTATATTCCTCCGGATACACAGACCCTTTACGACACTATCCCGGTGCTGCTTATGGAGGTTCCAGTGTCCAAGAGAAGGCGTACCCATCCTCCTTTTACCAGCAAGCGAACGGTGCCTACGGCAGGGCAACCGCCGCCGGTCCCTGCGATTATGCGACAGCAAGCTTCTACAGGGAAAAGGACCCTGCCTGCGCCCTCGCCAGCATAGAGGAACACTCCTTCGTTCTCAGTCAGGATCATCGCAAGCAAGATTGCACGGGGTCGACGGGGAAAATCATCTACCCTGAGGCCGACGAAGAGAAGCCGTCAGCGCCGGTTTATCCTTGGATGCAACGGATTAACTCGTGTAACGGTGAGTTCATGTTGTCTTCACCCTTCATTTTTCTCATCGCTAATAAAGACGGAGCTAGAGCGTGCTATACGGGACTTACAGCTTCACTGTACAGTGCCGGAAGCCCATACAGTGCAAATACGCTCGTCTCCACCATAGTGTCATATTGAAAGCAAAGCCACTCCTGTAAAGTTCTGTGAAATCTCCCATATGTACTGTACTTGCTTTTGAGGGAGGACATTTAGAAATATGTTCACCGCAAGGCTCATATCATTTAAATCACGGGAGAAGCTTGTCTAATTCTAAACATAAGAGATGTTGCATTACCGTATTATTGCAAAATGACCATTGTTGTTTTGACACATCTGTTACTGTTTGTTCCTTCTTGGGATACGAACAATGGTGAGTACATGGCAATATAAAAAGCACGAAATATAGCCTATGATTAGACTATGCAGAAACAGAGAGAAACTCGAAAATGCAATAGAAGCTGAATGCTCTGTGCATTTTCAATAACTTGATTTTAGTCGCTGCTTAGCCCTGTCCGTTAACAGTGGTTTCATGTATAAAAATAAAAAAAATATCAGCAGTATGGACATCTGTGTACACGTACACGTTTCAGTCACAAACACAAGTTTGACAAGTGCTCAAACTGGACGCACTGCATCTATATTCAGATATAAAAATTGATATGAAGCATATAAATAGACCGGTATCTTTTGTTTATATCTGTCACGAAAATAAGGAGAATCACATTTCCTCTGTATTTTTCCCCTCATCGCAAAAAAACTGTTTTTGACCTCTCAATATGTCTGCACATGGGTTTAAATGAGGACAAAATAACAAAAAATCGCCATAATAAACATGTTTAAATATGGTAAAAATACAAAATAGCATAAATGTGTGATATTGTGGACTGTATTGTATAGGTGCATAAATTTCACACTGCCTTGAGTGTTTCTTGTCATTGTCACCCCTCGAGTTGTTTTCTCCGGACGCATTTATCATTGTAATAAACACGCTCTCGGTGTTAATGTTTGACTTTTCTCTTTTATCTCATGGACAGGGACTTTCGGTAATGCTGGCCGAAGGGGTCGTCAGACGTACACTCGCTACCAGACGTTAGAACTGGAGAAAGAGTTCCACTTTAACAGGTATCTGACCCGAAGACGCCGCATCGAGATTGCGCACGCACTGTGCCTGACAGAACGTCAGATAAAGATTTGGTTCCAAAACCGGCGAATGAAATGGAAAAAAGAGAACAAATTGATCAACTGTTCACAAACCAGTGGCGAAGAGGAGGAGGAGAAGAGGACAGAATGAAATTTTAAACGATAAAATCCCCCAAAAAGAAAACTATTGCATAGAGGGCACCAGACACCACTCTGTAATAACACAAATGAAGACTTTCCATCATGTTAGCATCTGTAGCATTCCTGTTAACTCATACTTGTAATTTCTTTTCCTTTTTTGTACATGACGTTTAAAACATGTGGTTTTGTGCGCTCTTACTCTGACTTTAAAGTTGCTCTTATAACTGAAATGTCCATGTTGAACGAAACTATTTGAAATTTGTGTCATATTCGTGTTTATATTTAAGCTGTGTAAAAATTAAAATAAATTCACATTCTACGGAAAACGTTTTTCTATCTTTCATTTTTGTAAGGTAAACGTTTAGACACTATATGAGTTAATTTAGTGAGAAAAGCAGGGTGAAAAGGGTGAAAAGCAGTTAGAAATTCTAGAAAAACACTAGCTTCACATCAGTATATATAGCCCATATATATAGCACGTAGGCTACTTTACTTTTTGTTTGTTATTCAATAAAACAAACAAATCTTTCCGCTTGTCATGCATGCTGTACCTATATGATGACGGCCGATCATATGAAATGACGAATCCTTTTTGCGGTACAACACCTGTATGTATTCCCTGTATTATTTTTATTTTTGTCAAGAAAACTAGTTTAAACAAATTCACGGTTGACCCATAGGTGATGTAATGAGAAATACAGCCTTTGTCGCATCTTTAGTCTGTAGAGCAGCGCCATAACCATGCACTCTTCTGCGTAACTAGTATGAAATTTCAGTACCTGCGGTATAATATGTATATATATATATATATATATATATATATACACATACATTTATTAGTGTGCATATGATATTTTAGTACAAATACTGGTCACGTGTTTTCCTGATTTCATTAGACAAAGCCCAAAAAAGTTTGCGTTAGGGATTTGGTTTCGCTTTTTGTACTACTAAGAGGCCGAACGTTGCCCACTTGGTTCCAAAATACTTCCTACAAAGTGAGAGGTGAGAAGGTTCAGCAGGTTTTAATAGATAACCAAAAGAGAAAGCTGACCTTTCGGCGCTGGTCACTCACCCTGAGAGACTATACAGCCTGGAGGGCTAAAGCGACAATAAACCAAAATGTTCAGGCGGAGGTTTCTAATTGCCTCTTTAAAAAATTTAACCCCAATATCAGACATAATTTACATAATAGAAAAAAGTAATAATGCATAAGTTTTCTACACGCAACGTCACCTTAAATTATATTTATATTCGAAAAGCAGAGTATACATGCATCAGTGCATGAATGTGTGTTCACAGAGCACAATGGATGGACTTCATGCTTGTTCGCAGCCTAGAATATTATGTCACTTGTTAAATTCTGCACTTTTCCGAGCATCAAAAATATTGCTAAAATGTCAGTGTAAATGCTGATCTGAGGTATTTCAACAGTGCTTTTCCGTCTTTAACGTAATCACAAGTGAATGGAAGTTTAGTACAGATTTACATCATGCACATACATGAACCAGCAATTGGCGTTTTGTCAACAAACCATATATCATATTGGAACATAAATCACGATCTCGCATTCCTTATATTCATTCCATAGAATTTGCTGTGTGAGGAGCTCATCTTTGGAATGCGTCTAGTAAAAAGTCACATCACTTCTTGAGTTTGAAAAAATACATCTGCGACAAGACTAACGAAGGAATTTGTTGGAAATTAGCGAAACATAATTTATTTGAATTTCCCCTTTAAACTGGAATTAATATAGTGTATATATTTCATGCAGTCAATGTTATCATCAGTGCTTAATTTATTATCATTATTCTAACTTGACACAGGGTACAATTTTAAATGAGTAGGCTACTATAGTAGCCGTAGGGTTTCGCAA